TATATACACACACACACACACACACTCGCACACTCGCATTCACGCAGCATAGATGTAACAGCCTCGATTACACTCCCAGCGGGCCGTAGCCATTCGAGAGGAAAGTTTTATTATCGGCTGCGTTTGAGAGGCAACAGAAGCAACGACAGCAACAACAGCAGCTCATAAAATATGTTTGCCATCACACACATACACACACAAATACACAGACACACACATTGCTGGTTGTTGCTGCTTTATTCTTCATTTAACAGCTTGCCCCGCGGGAGATGCGGCGGCCCAATGTGCCGCATTCTTGTTTTTGTTTTTTTTTTTGTTTCTTTATGCTCGCTCACAGAGCAGAGCAGAGTATATTGGTTTAGCCTAGATGCCTAGCTGTACAAATATGAAATTATATTTTTAAAGTTCTCTTTTGGATTTTTTCTAGTTTCAAATTGACTTTAAGAATTAAAAACCTTGTGATAATTGTAAATAATATTGAGAGTATATTGGTTGTCTATGCTAGTGACACTATGAAGTTTTAACTGGGCATATGCTCGCCTATAACGCCTCGAGACTTGAGCATCGTGCAGTCGAGTATAGCCTGCTGCCAGCTCCTTGTTCTCTGTTTGTTTTTTGTTACTTGTGGTCGGGCCGCTAGCTGGTGCTGCCCTTTTTTATTAGTCGCCCGGTTTTGGGCTTATTATATTTTGCTTTTACACTCATTTAAAGCATTTTACAGTAATTTCGACTATACCTAATTTTAAGCCATTGCCTTTGGCCGCCACCCGCCGATTGCGGTCGTTGCGGTTTTGTGACAGGGCAACAACGCGCCAAGGCCACGCCCCCTAACTTTATAAAGCTATTCTAGCGGAGCAACTTCATTCGGATGAAACGAGCCTGTGTGCAAGACAAAGGAAATATAATTTTTTTAAGCTTCTCCAAAGAAAACAAAAAAATACAGGGTATTTGTGAGCTCGGTTTTGGTTAATGAAAGTTTTGAGAAACTTGTTTTGTTTCAGTTTCCTTATGACAGCCATCGGTCCACGGAGAGTTGAGCGCGACGCGAGTTATGCATCGTCCCGCCGCAAAGTAGGCAACATAATTTAGCTAATTTTTTATTTATTAAACTTTTGGCATCCATAAGAACATAAGAACAGAAAACTTGCACTTTATAAATTGACAATTTGTTGTGTTGACTTTGCGGAAATTATTATCTATCCAGCATATAGCCGACCGGGGAATTGAAATCAAGAGCTTGCCACTTTGCTTCGGCCTTGTTGTGCATTATTCAAGAGACTTCTACACGAATATCGTAGGCAAAACATGACCTCTAGCTCGCTCTCTCTGTCACTTAAGGTGCGAAGAGGAATAATTTATTTGTGCAGAATTTGCTGAGGCAATGGCCGAAGGTCAAGGGGCAGCAGCAACAACCAAGCTGGCAGCTTTTGCAGCTTAAATGCCGTGCTGGGGTTAAGCTGTTCAAGTGGCACAACAAAAGCGGGCAGAACAATGGAAATGACCACAGCACGACGATGGCAGCTGGCCGGAGCTGCAGCTGAAGCCGGAGCAACAAATTCTAATAATGTCATTGTTATTGTTTTTGTCTTTAGCCGGACTTAGCAGGCGAGCACACGCACTCCACTTGACTTCAAATTGAGTTGTGTGCGAGCTAAAGTTAAAAAAAAGCTGAATAAACAAGAGTGGAGAGTTCTAATTGACTGACTAAGACATACCCAGCATGCAATGCCAAGCTGAACTTATATAAATTATAAGTATCTTCTATAGAAGTGTTTATAGATTGATCTGAATTTGAGCAAGTTATCGATCAGATGAAAAACCTTTAGAGAGAAGATCTTGAGTCAAATCTCTAGCTAGAAAAGTTTTAGAAAGGGAAAATATAGCAGGTAGACAAATGATCTTTATGAAATATGCTTTGAAAGCATAATTCAAAAATCGATATTTATCGATAACATAATCAAACAAACTCTAAACTAAGCTTTTCAGCTCTTTAGAGCCTAATCTGAGTTGAACTTGAGCTGTAACCTTTAGCTAGTTTATTGCTTGTCCCAAGATAGATGTTATTAGCAGACAGATAAACCGCCTTGGCTAGATCAGCTCATATGCCCAATAATATATATGTCTATATATGATGGTCGGCATCAACAGCACTTCTCACAACAAACTCTTAGAGCCTAATAATTGCTGGGTAGAAAAACTGCAGTCAGCGTCCTTGGAGCTGAGAGTCAATGCGACAAAAGTCAAGTGCTGCATGGGGAGCCAGGCAATAGACGATGGACGATGGACGATGGTCCTTTAGCCTTTTGGGAGATATGCGCGGCGCAGTGCGAAGATATTTATGGCCACTGACCGACGTGCAGCCATTGGACGCCGCATGCCTTGAGCTGGACGTAAGCCGTTCCAGCTTACGCTCCGCCTCGCTGCGAACGCATGTGCCGGGTCAATTGTTGCAGCCAACGTGGCGCATGACTGATATGCATAGCTGCTGCCGCACAGTGTGGGCAAAATAGCAAGCAAACAACGACAGCCATGAAAAAACAACAGCAAAACATTCAATTGAAATATGCCACAACACGAACAACAACTGCAACAAAATGCAGCTGGCAAACCTCACAAAACAAATAAACAGCGGCAACTACGCTTTTCGGCTGGCTTGACATTATGTATACGACTCGAATTTCCAGTGTTGAATAACACACGAGAATAACAACGTGAATCATGTATGCGTGTTGTGTTAAATAATAAATTATGCCATCTACATGACGCACCAATTATATTTCACTACATTAAATAGCGAATTTCATTAGCCTCCGTGATAATCGACCAAATTATTTTGAACACATTTTGGGAGCACAAAATGTGGATTTTTAACCATTAAAGCATGATAAACATGTGCTTCAGGACTGTACAGCCAAGCAAAATGTTTGTGCTTTGACCACATTTGTACTGTTAGCCTAAAGATACCAGGTGTAACGCCCTAAAGGCACAATAGGTGTGGCACGTCTATAATTACGATATGTAAATGCCTGAAGATACGATATGCTTCTAACCGAAGATACGATATGTAGTTGACTGAAGAGGCAATTGTCTGTAAATACGATACGCACTTGTTTGAAGATACGATATTCATTTGCCTGAAGCCACGATATTCAGTTGCTTAAGTCATAAGTACGATTTGATATAGATATTTAGTATATATATGATATTTGCCTAAATGTACGCTGTGTGCTCGATATGTAGTTGTCTGTAGGCAGGATATTCAGTTGCTTAAAGTACAATATGATAAAAAGATTTGGTATATATATAATACGATATTCAGTACGATATTCGCTTGTGAAAAGGCCTAAATGCATAATATGCAATTGCAATACGATATTAAGTTGCCTAAAGTACGATATTTACCTGAGAATACGATATGTAGTTGTTTCAAAATTAAAGTTAACCTTGCGCTCTCCAAAGCAATGAATATCAAATTTACAATTTTACGGCCTCAATTCCCAGCCGAACTTTTTGTAGACGCTATAATCTTAAAGATCTGAAATAAGTTTTCGGCTAATGAATAATCCACTTAGAACAAGTTGAACTAAAATCTAAAATGCAAATTTCCTGACAAACGATATACTTTAATTAAATATAATCCCAAATAGAAAGTCTAAAGCTCTTAGACCATTCTATATTTCCCTAAAAATTCGATAGCTATTAAAACTTTTCATTACATCTAAACGCGCACAATACATTTTACCTTTTCGTTACTTCAAATAAATAAAAGACACCAAACACTGCACTTAAATCTCAATTTTGTATCTTTAAAGTCAGTCTACAAGCGCTTTAGGGCACTTGAGGACTAGTAAAGCCCCAGCAAACACTCGCGACTCAAGATTTCTTGTTTACATTACAATTTTCATGCTGCAGCAGATCTACAAATTACTCATTCTCCGACTAAATTCACTTTGGTATAGAGCTCGTTACTGGTTTCGCTAATCGAATATTTGTCAGTGGCACACACGCACACCCACTCTTGCGCACTCTTACACTTCACTCTGCCATGCCATTCCCATTTAGAATCGATGGCTTGGCACAATGGAGCATTACTTGAGCTGCATTTCAAGGTTTTACAAATCATCAGTTCTTACGTGCGTCTCACCTCGCCACGCCCCGCCCCCGCCTCGCACGTTGTTTACTGCAATTACTATTGAAAATAAACGTATTTCAGGCTAATTAAACAATAAAAGCGCAAGCGAAAGTAAATGTTATAAAAACAGTGCCAGCATGCCAAAGATGAACGAATAATTGATACCCTGCAGAAAACTCTTCAAAAACTGTTTCACTCTCAACTGATAAATATAAAACATAATTAATACAATTAATACTATTGACTGTATCTATACCTATTCATACCCAGTCTTACAGACGAATGTGACTTGCCTCCAATATACCCCTTTTACCTTGAGCCAGGGCATTAAAAGCACAAAAAAGGTAAGGTAAATTGAAAGGCGAGCGAGCGCGTTTCTAAATGAAATTTACCAAATAAGATTCAGGCAGTCTGTGTAGTTTGGATGGCGGCGCTGGCAGAGGCGTTGGGCGTGGCTGTGAATCTGTCTTTCACGCTGACGCTGACAGCTGACAAACCCGCGAGACTTGCGCGCGCGCGCATCTCTGAAAAGTAGGCAACAAAGACGACTCGACGCCGTGGCACAATGATGTTGCAATTTAATTTGTATTGTTAGCTGTTGTTGACGTAGCTGCTGCCGTTGTCGACGTTGTTGCTGCTGTCGAGACAATTGCAGCCGCATCACGTTGTTGATGATGATGATGATGATGAATCCACTTAAGCGCCAAGCACAGTTAGCAAATGGGCACAGCAGTCGTCTAATTGAAAAGCAAAGGGAAGTGTACAGGCGCTGTACATGTGTGTGTGTGCACAGGTGAGTGTAAAAATTGCTCAAAACAAACACACTCACTCAGACTCACACACACAGTGCAAGTGACAAATGTTCTCCTTTCGTTTTAATTCATTTTATTGCCTGGCAGCTTATTCAATTGGCTTTTCAACTTATTTCGACTTTAACGCATACATGTTCTTCATCTGTGAATATGTATATAACTGAGTGTGAGTAGGTGTGTGTGTGTGTATTAACTTGATTGAAATGCAAAACGCTCGACTTCACAGCAATGCGATTGTTGCACGCGGCTGCTAATCGCGGCAAATACGCTTCGATGGCGGCTCCTCGTCGCCTGGCGCAATCGACTGCAACAGGCCGCAGCTCGTGTGGCTGCCAAAGAGCGTTAGCAACAGGGCGACGCCATAGCCCGTAGCACGCTCACCCTGCCAGAGATAGAGAGAAAAAGTATTGCATTCCGATATACTATATTTCTTTACAATTACTTACACAATTGACGGGCGTAGCCATGTCAACGTGCATCCAAACGCCGGGATAATCGAAGCCCAAATGAGCCGCCACAAAGAGACCGGCGCAAGAGGACTGTGCATTCTGACGATCCTGTAATGTGAGATATAAAGGATTAGGCATAATTTATTTAAAATATTATTGAAATGTTATACTTGACTAAAGACAATCAATAGAAGCCTCAAAGTGCAACTAAAAAATAACAATTTACATTTGCTATCCTAAGAATCTAAATGCCACAACTGAAGCCCAATTTGTCTTTAGAATTGAGAACACTATCTACAGTAACTCAGCTCATCACATTATATGATCAGTTGCATCCTGCTGTTGCCTCTTACAGCTGCTTGTCGCATCTTATGTTATCTGCAGCATAATCGTAAAATACAACAAAAAACTGCAACAAGTCTATGTCAGCAGCGTCTTTGATATTAAAAAGTATCCCGCAGTGCAATGCAACAGCAAAATATATAACTGCTCATACGGACACACAAAATCACACATATATATATATAAATATATACATATATATGTGCACATGACACATACATAAATATCTCTATAGATGTGCTAATGCCTAAATTATATGCCAGCTACCACGTAACGGAAACTGTCGCTCTACTAACTTGGGCGGAAATTACAACGCTTAAATGGAAAACATAAAATACCATTGCTTGGCACAATGGGTTAAATTCGATTTTTTATAAGCAATTTCTAAAGTTTTTTAAGCCTATAGTAATTTAAAAAAAAATATTAACAAAATCAGATAAATATTAAGTCAGTTGATCAATGCATTCTGCCAACTCCTGTCTCAGTTGAATTTTTGAAGTACAAAAAATAACAAATAAAACTTGTAGGTGAAATCGTTATATATAAAAGCTAATGCTATAAAATACCAAATTAAAAAAAATATTAAACTAGAGATTATCACGCGGCATATATATTTATATATATATATTATATTTATATATATACATAATACATGTTAAGTTGAATAACTTAGAAATTCCTAAATAGTTGAGTTTTCAGTACGGGCTTCAGTTGCCGTACATCCAGTAAGAGCTTAGCGCAAGTTTATATGAAATAATGCAACATAATGACTAATTACATAGAGAAATTTAGTTAAGCCCATTTTCTTCTTTGTTTCATAAAAAAGAAAGTATAAGTCTGATATAATTTAAACAAATATTTTAAAAATTGTTATGTGTCTTCATCTGTATTTTTATACAGGAACATATATCTCTGGCCCACAGTGCTACATATTAAAGAAAGCAATACGTACGCCTCTTTATGTTCACATGTTGAGAGAAAGAGAGCGAGTGAGAGAGAGAGAGAACATACGCCTCTTTATAGACAGTATGAAGAAGAAACTAAACTCAGCAGCAGGCAGGACAGCAAGAAGACGAACAACAACAACAGCAGCAGCAGCAGGAGAGAAGCCATGCACAGAATATTGCATGACAACGTGTGATAGTCCAAGATGAAAATCACACACACACACACACACGAGAAGTCTTTCGTCATGCAGCGGAAGTTTAAAGTCTATTCAAGCCAACGACTGCTACCGCATGTTACTGTTGTTCTTGTTATTCATATTGTTGTTGTTGTTATTATTATCGATGTTTCAACTGCTTTTGGCGGTTTCGAGTTGTTAACAAACTTGAGCTGCCTTTTGTTATGAAACTTGCCACGAAACTTGTAAGCGAGGCAAAAAAAAAAATGAATGCGAATAGTTTCTTGTGGAATTTCAAATTAAATGTAATCGAATCTATTCGTTTTATATTTTTATATACAAACAGTTGTATATATATATATGAAAGTGTATTGAAAATAGTTCAATTAAAATGCTGCCCATGAATGCAAATCAAATTGAATTGTTTGCAATTAACAAATTATTTGTCAAACGAGCTAACGAGATTTTATGATACTTTTGACTTTGTAGTCAATAATAAAAAAAATACATTATATACGAGGTAAATATTTATGTTTTGTTAGAGTATTGACAAGTCATATTCATTTTGTATTTACTTCAAACAGCAGCACAAATGGAAAAAAATAATAATTATTATAAAAATAATAATAATATAAAAATAATAATTTTTTAGACATTTTTTTAGAAATTTTTAGAATGCTTAGAATTTCAAAAAACATTATTTTTTTAATGTTTGCTGAGTTAATATTCCAATTCAACTGAATTCAAAGTAACTATTTTTACATGATTAAAGCAACTTTTTATATATTCATTGAACTAAAACATTTCTATATAGAAACAGTTTTTGAAACTAAGTTCGACTCTTCGATCATATCTAAATTATAGATAATTATCGTCTGTCTAGCGCAAGGTAATTGCCTTAACGTCGCGTCGTGTATGCCCCACGTCTCGTTAATTTTCATTAGAGGCTTTCAAGTTTGCTCATTGTGTGTTGGCTGGGGCTCGGCTCGGATAGATTTATTCAATGCTAAAATCAGCTCAGTCAACCGACTGCCAATGCGGCCCATGCGCTTTCATCAATAATGGCAAACATTTGTCAACATAATGTCATTAGCATTGATTGCATTACGCAACGCATTGATTGTGTGAACCTTTTGTAAATAGCCGAATAGCAAACGCACGCCCACACGCCCACCCAGTCGGCCACACATCAAGTTTGGCATTGGGTCGGCGACTAATTGCGGTTAGGTACGTGACCAGAACATGCCCCATGCCCCATGCCCCATGCCACAGGCCCACTGTCAATCACGCCACGTGTGCCACATACCTAACTCTATGGCTATTTTTGATTTGATGCCATTCGCTGCTGAAAGCATCCCGTTTCAATTTCGATTAACGTGCATTTTAATTAACACACAAAATCAATGCGCCTCTCACGCACTGCCCCTTTCACAGGTGAGCTGTAATTAAAAACAAAACGTTGCAATTTGCCAAAATTCGAAAAATATTTTACAACACTGAAGAATAGTGTGCAGTAATAAGAGATGCAGTTGCGAGAGTAGCGAGCAGCTAAATGAGAGGTGCAGTGAGTAAAGATATATTGAGAGAGAAGCATAAGAAAGTGAGAAGCGCATTGAAGCGATAATCAATCAAGCAAAGACAATCAATTAAGAAGCAGCGAAATCGATTAGAGTGAGAAAATAAACAAAAAACAAGAGCGAAATTTAAATTAAAAATTAAAAAATAATAAAACAAAAGCATCCACAGCACTACATAATGTAAAATAAGCACGATAAACAAGTAAGAAAGCTCTAGTCGGGGTGCCCGACTAGGAGATACCCTGATCCCAGTCCTCTGAGTTTTTTTTAAATTTTCCGTAGTTTGTATCGAATATTCAAAAAAAAAAGAAAACAAATAAAAATCAACATTGCGAGACCAGGATTCGAACCCGTATTATTTGCGCAACGTGCACAAACTCTACCAACACCGCCACTTCATAACTAAAAAAAAAAATAGAACAGTAAAAAACATTTCATCTTCACTGGTCTCGAACCCGGCCCAAGCGGCACACGAGCGGCGCCTCTACCAACGCAGCCACTGCCCTTCTTACGCGAGACGTTGCAAATTTGAACATAAGTAGCAGCAATAATTCAGCACAATTCAATCGCAATTTCAATTCTTGGAATAGAAAAGAAAACACGCATTTGAATGTATGTGTGCACACGCATAGGAAAAATGCGTGCGCGTGGCGCTGCTTACATGTGCTTTTGCAAATTAGCCAAACGTTTTGTTTAATAACTTCTGTTTTACTTAATGGATTTTAATGAAATTTTCAGCATATGATCTACATATCCTATTGGCATGGTTGAGATGCAAACGCCTTTACATAATGGCCCTAGTTCCAACTAAACTTAAATTCTAAGAATATGGGGGAATTTGGAGCCGGTATCCAAAATCCAACAAAAATCAAAATTGCATAAAATATACATAAGACTAAATACAAAATTTGGAAGCTCTAGCTCTTAAGACGTTCGAGATATTATTTATTTACTGCATTTCAATAATGTTTTTATTCGATAACAATTAAATGTGAATAGTTATCGAATATTTGAAACAAACTTGACCTGCGCGTGCTATACACGGACCTACAAAAAAAATTTCAAGTCTCTAGCTCTTATAGATGCTGAGATCCACGCGTTCACACATACGGACAGACGGACAGACGGACAGACGGACAGACGGACAGACGGACAGACAGACAGACGGACAGGGCTCAATCGACTCGGCTTGTCGTCCTGATCAAGAATATATATACTTTATGGGGTCTGCCACGCCTCCTTCTGCCTGTTACATACATTTGCACAAAACCATTATACCCTGATTTCCCATTTTTAATGGGATCAGGGTATAAAAATACATAAAAGAGAACTAGAATAAAAGGCAAGGGAAGAAAAACAAATGCAACGCTGAAAACTTAACTGAAATGCTCATTATCTTCATCTATTCAAGTAAATTACGTGTAAGTGTGCTCTACGCGGAAGTCTCCGACGCGCAAATACCCTAACCAAGTGCCTAGCTGCTGAATGTGTAAGCAAACAAACAAAAATTTGTTTACATCAGATCTAAAAGCTCACTGAATATATCCCAAATGTACAGAGGCACAGATCTGCCTTTTTTCTCTTTTACAATGGGAAAACTTCGCTTACAATCGATGCTCAACTTAAAGAGGTCGTTAAATCCTTAAAGCGGCAAACACTTAAGATAAGCATTAAACTTGCGAGACGCTGATATCAATGACAGACGTTTTAACACTTTTCACGTGCTGCCAGTGGGCAAACGTAATGCCTTGAGGCAGCAATGTATTGGATGCCTTTGACTGGGTTTCAGTATCAATTACACATTCATTCAATGGGCGTCGCAAGGATTTGCAGAACCAAGCCGACAACCGTTTTTATTTTTTTATTTTTTTTTTTTATTCAATTTCCCCCAATGTCGCGAGACGGTTTAAAAAACTTTTCACCCGCGGCGTGGGCGCGGTCGCGGGCCAAAGGCAAAAGAGCAAAACGAAAATATTAGAAACAGTCAATGCGAACGACGCCTGCCTGGATTCATTTTCTTTTACTTTTGCATTTTCCCTCTTTCAGTTTTCCTTTTTCTTTCGTTT